TGCCAGGTTTGATCCTGCCACTGCGACTGTTTCGGTGCTCTCGCCAGGCTTGGAAAGAGCATCCCAGCAGCAGCAGCACTCCCAGCAGCCCTTCAGAGTCAGCTTCATTCAGAAACCAGTTCTCTTGACCCACAGATCACTCGAGAGGAAGGGCAAGCAGGAGGTTTGCTGTAAAATCAAGTAAAAAGCCTTTTCTTCCATGGTTTTGCCTACTTTGTTGTTGTCCTAGGCTGCGGCACACATTGAAGCAGCTGAGCAGCCTTGTCCTGGGCCTGAACATCCAGAATTGGCACGGGGAGGTGTGCCAGAGAAAGACATGTGTCTTCTTGACATAGTCATCTTGTCTTCCTCCCAGTGTGAGGACTGGGCTGGTTCCACTTGGAATGGTTATGTGCCAGCAGAAACATCCTTGGGTGCAGCGCCCTTCTGCCCTGTCAGCAGAGGGGATGCTGCCCCTCTGCTCAGTCCTGGGAGGCACCTCTGGGGTGCTGTGTCCAGCTCAGCAGGGACAGGAAGCTCCTGGAGCAGGGCCAGCATAGACTGTGAGAATGAGGAGGGACTGGGGCTGTTCAGCCCAGAGAGGAGTCCCAGCTGAGAGGGGCTCTCAGCCCTGGGTGTCCCTGGGTGCAGGGAGGGGCAGAGCAGGGCCTGGGCTCTGCTCTGGGGCCCAGCAGTGGCACCAGAGCAGGGACTGAGCTCAGGGAGTTCCAGCTGAACATGAGGCAGAACTTCTTTCCTGTGCAATGACCAAGCACTAAACAGGCTGCCCAGACTGGAAATATTCCAGAACCCTCTGGACACAATCCTGTGCTCTGGGATGGCTCTGCTTGAGCAGGGAGGTGGCACCAGGTGGCCCACAGCAGTCACTTCCGGCAAGACCCATTCTGTGTTTCTGTGAAATGCAGATATACATCTTTGCATACATTTTTATTCTCATCTCTTCTATACAGAGCTGGAAATTTGGGGTCTCATCTCTTTTAGACCCATCTGTAAAAATATACAAGTTGGCCCATAAAGATATTATTAATAAAGTTGCTTCCACCTGGTGTTGGACTCCTTTAGCTCAGCCACCACAGCTTACATATAAATGTTATTCCATTATTTAAAATTTCTTCTGGCTTGCTGAACCCAAGTGAGAAATGAGAGAGTTGACGTGGCTCATCTTTCTGGTGCATGTTTCCCTCGGGTTAGCTTGTGTCCTGGAGGAGAAAACTCCACCTTTTTAGCTCTGGAGACAAGCCTTAAACATTGAGAAGTAATTGAAGTTTGCTGCGGGCAAGTTACAGATTGCTGCTGCTCTTGGGACTGTCTCAGTGGAAATTCAGCTTGATAAAGTTCAAAAAGAACTGGAACCGCTCAAGGACACAATTGAAAAAACATTTTGGGAAGCCGGTGGAAGGTTTCCAGCATGGCCGGTTGTGGGCGCAGAAGCAGGAGCAAGGAATGCAGCCTGGCCTCCCCAGCATCAACATCGCCTGGGATTTTTATCACATGTGTAGGGAGGGACACTTGGGATGTTTTCCCTTAAAAACAAACCTGGCTCGTGCAGGCACGTGAATAAGAGGAAATAGCAGCTTCTTGATGAGAAGAAAGGCCTTATAATCTATATGTTTAATGTTTGCTTACATGAGATTATTTTTCTCCCTCCAAAGCAAGTATTAAAGAAATGCTTTGTGATTTGTGCAGCTCTGGCATTGGCAGTGTTGTCTCTTTAGAGCTCCGGAGCCTATGGAATTTGCTCTGACCCTCGCCGGCGGGAGGGACTGAAGTTACAGGGTCCCTAGGAACTTTGAAAGGGGAAACCAGGGGAAAGCAGGACAGGTGGTAACGGCATTTCATCAGTCTGTAAATGGCATGTTTGGGCACCCGGAGGGTGCCCTGTTCCCAGGGACAATGTGACTGTGATCCAGAGGATGCCTGGCAAAACAGTCGGCAGCTGGTCACTGGGTGGGTTTGATTCACCCGCCCTACCATATACCTTTAATTTTGAGCCAAATAGAAACACTTCCTACATAAGGGAATTCTGTGAGGGGACTCAGCCTAGAGAAAAGGAAGCTCAGGGGGGACCTTCTGTTTCTCCACAGCTCCCTGATAGGAGGGGGCAGCTGGGGGGATTTTGGGCCCTGCTGCCAGGGAACAGGGACAGGGCAAGAGGAAACAGTTTCAAGCTGTGCCAGGGGAGGTTCGCTTTGGGAAGCAGGAGGAATTTCTTCACTGAAAGGGTGGTCAGGCATTGGCATTGGCTGGGGCTGCCTAGGGACGTGGTGCAGTCTCCACCCCTGGAGGTGTCCAAGGAACAACTGGATGGGGCACTCAGTGCTCTGGGCTGAGTGACAAGGTGGGATCGGTCACAGATAGGACTCAGTCGTCTCAGACATCTTTCCCAGCCTAAATAATCTTGGGATTCTGTGAAAACATGTGGTGGAGCTGTTGGTTTATATCCTTCCATTTTAGCAGGGTGGAAAAAGGAAGTACCCCTGATGTTTCCTCCTTGCTCGAACGTGTTCCATCCTGACCGTAGCATGTTGGGATGATGAACTGTGCTGCACCCTGCCAGAATACTGATACGGATTGAGCCAGGATGGTTGTCCAGGGTTTCTGCTTGTCTTTTGTTCTGGTTGTTCCCTTTTCCCTCCAGGCTCCTCCAACTGAAGTGCAACTTGCCCAGACTTGCACTGCACAGAAGTGGGAGGGCGCTTTGAGGCTGATAGAAGCACGGGTCACCTTTGGGAATAGCAGACTTCAGGGATGGAAGTTAAACTATAACCCTGGGCCAGTATGCTTTTGGTTTCTGAATTCCCGAGGGGAAAGGGAGGAAGTGGGAGCAGGACAGGGAATTTCTGCCAGACAGAGCATTCTGCCCACTTGGTTTCAAAACACTGATGTAGGGAAGTGCACTGCAAGCAGGGAATGGCTGTGCTTGCTCTGGATCCATGGGGCAGCGTTGCGGGCGGCTGGAAGGGGGTGTGGAGGAGGCATTCTCAAGAAAACAGGGAGCATTCTTGATGCATTGGCATCAGTGGCAGAAGGGCAGGGGTGTGAATTTGGGGAGCTGTGCTGCCTGTGCACCTGGGTTGTCTGGCTGCAGCAGGCACCTAAATCCTGGCTTTATTCCTGGGACTCAAATTCCCTGTGCCTAAAGCCTGGGTTTATTCCCAGGACTCATATTCCCTGTGACATCTCCAGGCTGTTACTTCACCCCTGTGTTTACATCCTCCCAATGCTCCTTGATTGCTTAACTGCTTGTTGGACTCTTGAGAATCTCAAAGGAAACTTGGGAAGTGCAAAGTGGGATTACTTGGCCATCCTCCTCCTGATGTTTCTGTATCTTAAACAGAGCTATGATAGCAGTGGCAGAATATAAACATCTGGAGTTGAAAAAAGTGCTGCAGAAGCTCTTTTGTAGCCTGTGGAGATCTCGCCCTTTTTGGGAAATAATGGCCAACACCAATTATCCTGCACTAAAAAGTATTTCCTTTCTTTCCCCTTTTCTTTCCAGACTTTATATTCAGAGCACCCATTAAATTAAGCAAAACAGGAGAACTCCGAGAAGAATATGAAAGCCAGCTAAGGAAGGTGAGTATTTTGGATACTTGTGTTTTCCTTCCAGAATAACTTGGATTTCCTGCAGGAATGCCATCCTACCTGTAGGGAAACCTGAAGAGTTCTTTTTTCCTGTTCTGTAACAAAAGTCATTTATTCTCTCTATACTGTTCAGCCAGTTCGAGAAATGGTTGTAAGTGAGCATGTAGAAGCCAAATTTTGCTGTCTTAGTTTGCCTTCCAGAACACGGAAATGTACCTTCTATGGAGTGACTGTTCAGTTGTAGATGTAATTCCATAAAGGCTTTTGCAGCATAAGGCGTCTCCTTCTCCTCAAAAACAAACTTCCAAACCAGAGCTTTCTATTTCTTTTTAGCCAAGAATAAAATGTGGTTTAAAGACCAGGAAAAAAAAGATACAAGAATAAAGGTTTTTCAGCTAGTTTGGAATTAAAGGCCATGAAAATATTTTTTTAGATTTTTGATCTTTTTGATCTTGTTTTCCCTTGAGATGGATCCAACTCCTCACTGATTATTTTACCTGCTGGGTAAAAGTAACCTGAGGGGTTTTTCACTGTTGAAGAATTTTCTTTGGGCTTTCACTTGTAGATCTCAACAAGCGTAAAAAGGCTGATAGAGTTAGAAAAACAGCCTTGTCTGAGTAGAAAAATGGGTGATATTTCAGATAAGTAACTAGTCTGGGAAATGCATATGTGCAAGGAGACAGTTAAAAAGTGTGGAAGGGTCTTCCCTCCTGCTTCTTCGTGTATGGAATTAGCAGTGACACTGTTGGGCTGTGTCACTGCAGGTTACTAAGATAGCTTTGGCTGACTATTTCATTAACTGATCATGGGAATTGCAAGTTCTTCTCCAACTGAGGTGCCTTGACAGGAAAGCAGGGACACTTAGTGTGCAAAGTCGTGGGACTTGTGGCATTTTCAGCAACAATTCTCTATCAAGTTTAAGGAAGCACATTTGCAGCATGGTCGGGCTGCAGCTGAGAAGTTTTTTACATCTACAGCTTGACTTCAGCAGAAAGATACCATGTTCAGTCCAGTGCCAACACTTCATCTTTCCCTTCCAGTTAGAAGGAAATACTTTACCATGTTTCTGGCATTTGGGCATTTTTTTTTTTTTGTCTTGTTCTTGTTCAGGCTGCTGCTCCCTGCCAGATAAAACTTGCATTTTTGTGCAGCTCAGCTGAAAGAGCCGTGTGGGAGGAGATTCTGTGAATCGTCATCTAGGAGGAAATGGCAGTGAAATTTTGCTGGTGAAATGACAGCTGATGATGTAGTCATATTATTCATAGAATCAGAATAGAATCAGAGAATTATTTAGATGGGAAAAGCCCTTGGAGATGGAGTCACTCCCTCACTGCCAAGGCCACCACTATCCCATGTCCCCTGTGCTGCATCCATATGGCTTTTAAATCCCTTCAGGAATGGGGACTCCACCACTGCCCTGAGCAGCTGGCTCAATGACTGGCTACCCCTTTAGGGAAGAAATTTACCCTGATACCCAGCCTAAACTTCCCCTGGTACAACCTGACACTGTTACTTCTTGTCCTGTCACTTGTTACCTGGGATGAGAGACCGACTGATCTAGCCTCCTGTCAGGAAGTTGTAGGGAAGCAAAATTGTAACAGTTGCTACTTACCAGGAGTTTCTTGGTATCTCTGAACTTCTGAATTAGGCAGGAGGAGACAGGAACTCGGGTTTGGGAATCTGAACTTGTATATGACTGTGTTTCATCTCAGCTTCCCTGCCTGCGGAATGGGGATAACCTGGGCTTTCCTCTTGGAGCATTTCCAAACCTTTTTACATCTCCCAGGTGTGAGTTGTTTTATATATCTGAGCTCTTGACCCACTTCCCTGCTTTTTGCAGTTGAAAACAAAGTGATACCATAACTATGTACTGAAGAAATTTTATTTGACGTGGATTATCTCTTCGCTAAATTTTCTCAACTGGCTTTCAGAATGAGATAAACATTTGCTGTCTGTGCAGGATAGCGAGATTGGGCTTTCCTTTTTTGTACCCTTGGTTCTCTTGCATTTTATGTTTCTCCAGAGGAGGCTGTCATTTCTGTGTACTAAAACCCTAACTCATCCTGTCCAGCTGTCTTTCTGTCACAAGCAAGTCTGTTGCTTGTAAGCACACACAGTGGGAGGGGAAACTCCTACCTGAGGCATGTGCTGACATGCAGCTTCCCCGAGCCAGGGCAGACGGAGCAGGCTCCGGGAGGCAGCAAACCTGGACAGTTTGTGGAGAGAAGAGAAGATACCAAACGTGAGTTTGCCAAACTTTTGGAAATAAATGCTAGTGTCAAGAATGATGGTCCTGAAATGGGCGTTTCTTGAGTGAACAATTACTCATTGCTTGTATGGCATTTTTTTTCCCCCTACAGCTGCGGTATCCAAAAGGACTAAAATGTATTTTCTGATAACTGTGCTGTTCACAGCAGCTGTTGGTCCTGCATCCAGTGTTTCAGAGATGCTACTCAGATAACATGAGGTCCTTCTCCCAGGGTACATGTTTCACACTACATTGTTTCAGTTTCTTGTCCTCCTGCCCCAGCACAGCATTGCCATGTCTGGAAGGAAATTCTCTGGGAGACAGTTTACATTAAGGCTATTTCAAATTATTATTTCTGTAATTAGTGCAGATTTTATTGTTAGAGTTTGATTTTGTTTGCAACCTTAATTTTGGATGTAAATTCTCTTTTGTATCCCATTAATTAGGATTAGGATCCTGCTGTTGCCTTTTTGATTTCACTGTCAGCAAAGCTTGGCTTGCCACCTCACACTGATTGTGCCACAGATTTCCTCAAAATCTTTAAATATTCCTGTGTATTGTTACATATTCCTGTGTCTTTTGATTTTACAATTTTTATAATTTAGTCGTAAAAGCGAGTATCTTCCTTCCACATGAGAAATAAAGGAGGGACACGAGTGCTGGGTAATATTTCAACCAGTCCAAAAAGAAAAAAAAAAATCTTTATCATAAACCTGGTGCAAATTTGTTTTTCAGATGCTTCAAAAAAGGCAGAAATGCTGTTGACTTAGAGCAGGCTGTTCATCATGTCTGCATCATGTGGTCACAATCTATGTTAGTCAGACACTGTTGTAGTTATTGCTTGAGATTATTAATAGATGAGGAATTTAAAGATACATCTTAAAACAACTCTAAGCAAGGAGTCAAGCCAGTCTTCGAAAATATTTGCTGAACACCCACAATCAGCCAAACAGTGGAGTTTTTCCTGGTTTCTGCCTTGTTTCCTCCTTGTTTTCCTCCTTGTTTTTCTCTTCCTTATCTGTGGGGGCTTGGATTCAGTAGGATTCAGGTCCTTCCCAATTTGAAAATCACAATGTGCTTTCCCTGTAATGCCTTGTGAAGTCTGTTTTCTTTGTTATCCTTACGTCCATACTTTTGGGGGTTTCCCCTCCTCCAGCAGAGAAGAAAAATACTAAATGTTTTTGGAAGAAAGAGGAGTTGTTGCATCATTCCCCACTGCCTTTTTAAGTTAGGGAGCTTCTTAAACACCTGAGATGCCTATGCCCAAATATGAGGAAAAGCCCAGGGATCTGAATTCATAGTGCTGGGTTTCATGAGCAGGATGAAGATGTGTCAGTCAAAGGTCCGGATAACTTCTGCATGGAGAGTGGATGGAGGAAGGAGGGAGGATCTGTTCTATATACAGATACATTAGACTATTCCTGGGCTGTGTCTAAGTTGAGTAAGAGGCAAGACACAAGCTGGGAAAATGTCTGGCTGATGGAGGGAGAAGGGAGCTGGTTACCCTGGGCAGGGACAGTCAGGTGGTGTTATCTGAAGTGTGTTCTGTCAAGCCTGTTCATCAGGAAAAGGTGGTGTAAAGGAGGAGAAAAGGGGTCTTGTTGGTTTTGATAGCAAGTCTGAAAAAAAAAAAAAAAAGTCCTGGCAGAAAAGGGGAGTTTGATTTCTTAGGTGGGGGGCAAAACAGTGCAGCAGGACAGGCAGCCCATCAGAGTCCATGTACCTTGTGTCCCAGATCCTGGCATTCCCTTACACTTCTCTGTGCTTGATACTGAATTCGAGCTTGGAGCCTGGAGTCAGCTGTCAGGGCTAAGGGGGTCTCTCTGGATCCTCTTCATCCCAACACACTGGTGGAACAATGGGATTTCATCTCTTGTGTTGCTTTCCACATGGGAATTGCTGCATCTCACCTTTTATTTTAGGTAATGCTGGTTATGTGTCTGCCAAATTGTGTGTGGAGCATGTCAGGCCGTCAGAAGGCTAAAACTGAAATATCACAGCTTGTTTGAAACTAGTTTTGCACATTTTTATATGTAGTAAGATCACCTACAAGTAGAGAAAAGCTTTTGTCACTCTATTTTAGAAAATACAGTGGCAGACAAGTCTTTGTCCAGCCTTGGGCCTCATGGTGCCTTTGTTGTTTTGCAAAGAAGATAAAATCCATGATACTTGTGTATAAAACACAAATGTGATACAGAAGCAAACCAATCTTCACATTATTGTGTGAGAGAGGCAATGGCTCTATTCTGGAGTAGAGAAATGAAGGCACAAAATGAAACGATGTGACCAAACTCTCAGTCTTGCCAATCTGTAAGTGTAGCACTTATGAAATTATAACTACTTAACCTCTTTTGTCATTATTTCCAGCTGAGAGAAGAGAAGCTACAAGAAGAAAAGACATCTGAGGATCTGATTCACAAGTTCATTCTAGATGACATGGACGTAGGGAAAAGAAAAATGGAGGAACAGCAGAAAAAGGATGAATCTGTAGTTCTGAAAGGGAACCAAGACTGTGTAAGTAAGCTCATGCTTCTCCTTCCTGCCCACATATCAAAATTTTCATTCTTTGGCTTTCCAGGATTCCTCGATTGAGTTTTTACAATTTATGAAGGCTATGAGCTGGTAGATTATAAAGATCCTTGTTAATGAGTGTCTTCTAAGGTCTGTTATGACTGCAGATGTTCTAGAGGTTTCTGTCCCCCTTTTTGCCCTCTACTGTGTGACTCTTCCTAACACAGCAGATCCCATCAGCTTTGGGGATATCCTTGGTCTTCAGGCTTGTGTGCATTTCCATGAACATTTCTCCATGAATCTTCTGCAGTGAAGTTGTACAACTGAAGTTCAACACGTTATTCCTGCTGACTTCTGCCTGTTTCCCATTTCATTTGGGAGACTCTGCAGGAAGTGCTCTTAAAATTTCCATTTGATAGCCTGACCCATGGGGGCTGAGTAACCAACACCCTGTAGTAACCTGTATTGTAGAATTTCCCACATTTTCTGATGAATAAATCACCTTTATTTGATGAGTAACAACTATATATAGAAGCTATGTGCTTATTTTTGTATTATTTATGCCTTATGTCCTCTCAGTATAATCAGAAATGGGGGATTTGGGGATCTTTAACACTTCTGCAAGAAAGAGCTTTATTTTCCAAGTTACTCTTTTTGTTGTACATGTCAGCTAACTCTTCCTTGATTGACTTCAGTTTCCTGAACATCTCTCGGATTCCGAGAATGAAGAACCATTCCAGGGCAAGCAAACACATCGGTCAGCTTTTGTTTCCAAGACCAGTGCCTACTCCTTTGCTCTCCTTTCAGGGTAAGATGCTGAGAATTTTTAATGTCCTTTAAAGATGTTCTTCCGACATGTTTTAAACACACATTAAATGCTCTAATTCAAATGGTGGTTCCAATCTAAAATAAGGGAATTTTTTTCTGGAATTTTAGAGTAGACTCATTGGTAGAACGTGGTGTCTGTCTGATTACTTCCTACCTGGAAGTTAAGGAAGTTAATGTTCATCCCATGAAGGAGAAAAATAATTGCCTGTAGATTTAAACCATTAGTCAGAAATCAGAATTCTGTCGGATGAACTCAAGAGTGCTGGTTCCTTCTCCAGCACAGATATGAAGGAATAGCATCAGCCACGAACAGCTGAATAACCAGGTGTGTTTCCACATGAGAAGCAAAGGGGTTCTCCCAGCTCCCTCATTGGCACTGACCTCAGTTCTGTATGAGCCATGGACAGAGGTGTCCATGTGTTCAGTGTGGAGCCTGTGAACGCAGACCAGGGCTCTGCTGCAAATCCAGGATTCCTGGATCCCCTTTCCCAAGGGCATGGAACGTATCTCTGCCAGCCAGGTGCTGATGCCTCTCCCACAGGTAGCAACTGCCAGGGCTGTTGAGCTGGTTGTTCCTAAGGTCACGAACCTCTTCTCACCCATCTGCTTTTCAGGAATTTAATCTCCAAGGTGGAGAGGAGTCAGAGCTGCAATGACACCATTCAGGAGAGATCCAAGAGCAGGCAGAGATCAGCCCCAGCCATCAAAACAAAGGTACAGGCAGTGTCTGGAAACAGGTTCCTGTGTGTAAATGTTCTTATCTGAGGTTACGCAGCACCTGTAATCTGGAGTTATAAAATATGGGCTTTGTGGTGCTGTATTATTGCCACGGGGCAAATCGCTTCCTTGTGGCTCCCAATAAAACCTGATGGGTTAGGAATTACTAAACAGAAAAGCTGACAGGTGTCAGGGTTCTTGTGTAGCACTGGAGGTTAATTGGAAGTTGAAAGGGTTCTCATCAAGCTTTTGTTTTGTGATTCCTTTTGTGTTCAAGGCTGAATTCCCAGCCAGGTAAAGAAAAATCTTTTAGAAGTTTAGGAAAATAATCCTCTCTCCCTTTCTCTCCAAAGCTGTTTAAATAGAGCAAAACTCATTGTTTTCCTGACATCAGGGTACATTGGCACTTCCATACTATAGAAGATCCAAAGTCTTCATAGGATCATAGAGTAGTTTGGGTTGGAAGGGAGCTTGAAGTTCATCCAATCCCATGCCCTGGGCAGGGAGACCTTGCACTGTCCCAGGTTGCTCCAAGCCCCATCCAACCTGGCCTTAGACACTTCCAGGGATGGGGCAGCCACCCAGCTGCTCTTGCTAGGATGTTCTACCTCCTCGTGCTGACGCCTCTCCTTCTTGGGATCGGTTTCATCCCTGATGGAGAAAGAGAGGGTTCAGATCCAGAGATCCCATGAGGAACAGAAACCTGTGCAATCTGCCATCTGAGCTGATAGAAGCTGGACTGAGCCCAAAGCAAAGATCCATAACTTACCTTCCTTCCAAGGACTTTCTTCTTTTTTAAGAGGATGCCTTATGGATGTGACCAGTTAGAGTTCCAGTATTCCAAAACTTATTTTGACCTCAAAATAGGTGAGTAGAAAAAACCTTTCAGACTAAGCAGGAAAAGGCTGTTATTGTACACACTAGCTGCTGGATAAAAATATTTCACCTCGGTGCTAAGAATAAGACCATTTGCAGTTGTGTGTGTTGTTTCCTCTCTGCTTCATTTGTGCCAGGATTATGACCAAGTGTAGCAGCATTCAGGGACTGTCTTAGAGAAGACAAGAAATGTTGCTCTTAATCACAGAATGCTCCATGTTAGAAGAGACCTTTAAGGTCATCTAGTCCAGCCATCAGCCTAACACCACTAAACAGGCAGATTTATCCAGGTAAAGAGAAAACATATTTCAAGGCCAGGTTGGATAGGGCTTGTAGGAATCTGGTCTAGTGGAAGGTGTCCCTGCCCATGGAAAAGGGTGGAATGAGATGGTCTTTAAAGTCACTCCTCACCCAAAACATCCTGTGATTGTGTGATTTTGCCATTGGAGTGGCAAGAGCAGCTCTTAGACCGAAATAAATTTGACACCCAGATTTTGCTGGACCCCAGAGTGTCCAGCTCACGTCCACATCAGCTGTGGAAGGTGCTGTGACCAGCAGAGGCTGTCGGGGACGGCTATGCATGGCAGCCATCCATTCTCCCGGTCTCCTCTAGCATGCTTGTCGTGCAGCCCCGTGAGCTCCTCTCCCAGCTGTGCTGCCTTGCCTTGCAGGTGCTGCCCACCACAGGCGCGTCGACGCCGCTGCTCGGGGTGCTGTCGTCCACGCAGAACAACCGCTGCCTGTCCGCCCCGGACCTGACGGCCGAGAAGCGCCTGGTCCTCAACGCCGTGTCCTCCCTGTCAGCCCTGCACAGGCCGGAGCGATCCATCAGCCCCGAGAGCAACGACAGCATCTCGGAGGAGCTCAACCACTTCAAGCCTATCGTCTGCTCCCCATGCACTCCCCCAAAGAGGCTTCCCGACGGCAGAGTCCTGAGCCCCCTCATCATCAAATCCACCCCCAGAAACCTGAACCGGAGCCTGCAGAAGCCAACAACCTATGAGGCCAGTCCTAGAATACTGAAAAAATGGGAGCAGATATTTCAGGAGCGTCAGATCAAAAAGACTCTCTCTAAAGCAACCCTTACATCCTTGGCTTCAGAGCCTGGGGAAGACATTGTGGTTCCTGATATCACCAGCTCCAACAGTTGCACTAAGGAGCAGCCACAAGTGCAGGATGATCACAGTCCACCTGACGCAACAGGAGAGCCTCGCCCTGAGCTGGATTTCTTCCCTTCCGTCAGTGAAATGAAGCTGGGAAGAGGGAGTGAGAAGAACAGAGGTTCACAGGCCTTAACCACTGATGACAGTGCTGCTGAACCAGATGTGAGATCAAATGTAACCTCCCTAAACATAACCTCCCTAAACACACGAGTGGCTGAAGTCCCTGATCTAAAAGTGAATACATTCACGGACAAATCCTGCCTTAGTCTAGGCCCAAAAATGCTGAGCAGAAGACTCATGGGCGTCAGCGCATCGCTGCCTGACAGCAGCACGCTCGGAGTCCCCATCAAGCCATCGGGGAAAAAGCAGCTGAAGTACCTGAACAACAGCGAGTTGATCAACGTACAGAACAGCACCTGCAATTCTGTGGGGAACATCATCGGGGAACAGCCGCCGCTGCTGCGACGGGGCCGCAAGAGACGCTGCAAAACAAAGCACTTGGAGCACAACGGCTCCGTCAAAAGACTGAGGCACGTGGCAGGGGAGGTGGGCCTGCCTCCGGAGGTTCGGGACGTGGAGCAGAAGCTCCAGCAAGAGGAGGAGGACAGGAGGTTGGCCCTGCACCTGCAGCGGATTTTCGACAGCGAGAACAGGACAGTGGATAGGCGGAAAGTCCGTGTGGATCGGTATCTGCTGCGGTCCAAGAGCACTCTGGGTGCCAAGTAGCACTGCTGGATGATGTTGCCTTTCTAGAGGACAATGAGATTTATCAGATTATCTTATAGGAAAACTATTTTTTGCCCTAGTTCCACCCACGCAATTGTTTTTCTGTTTCGGTGGTAAGACATTTCTAGGTCCAGTTCAGAGAAAAGCCAGCGTCCTTTCAGATTTAAAAAAACAAAAAGAGAGAGAGAATGAGAAAAAAAGTCCTCCGGTCCTCTCTGGTCCTTTGGTCTGAAGGAATTGTCTGTCATCCCTGTGAATACACTGCAAGGCCTCCACACACAGCCTGGCACACCTGGGGTCCCCAGCTAGGAGTGTTGTGACCATGGGGTATGAGGACCATCCCTTGCCAAGGGAAATCTGAGCTCTGCTCATGGAAATTGTCTGAGAGTCTTCTCCTTTCTGCCTGCCCCATTTTCTCCCTCAGGCTGCCTCTGGTTGTGGGGTCAGCCTCTTATCTGTGCTCTGTATTTCTTCTGGGGAGTCCTAAACAGAGTCCCCCCTAGCACTTCCGAATGAATGTATCTCACTGTCTGCAGCAGCAGTACAGATCATTCATCACTTTCTTGAAGCAGAAAGCCAAATGCAGTGAAAAGACATAAAATAAGGATTTTACTGAAAAAAATGGTAGGAATTTGTAATTTCATGTTCATGACAGGGGAGAGAGCCCAGCTGGAGCAACACGCTGAGCACTGTGAGCTTTTCTCCCAGTGCATGTCTTTTCCAAACCAAGAGGGTTTCCTGCTTTTCCCTATAGTGTTCAAGAAAGGGAGATGCTGGCCAGGGAGTTTCTGGAAGGACATTCTCCCAGCTGCCACGTCCCTTGCTCAGCTGAGAGCTCTCAGCACACCTAAGGCCTGTCCTTGCGTGTTCCAGAGGAGCATCCAAGAGATCCAGCACGTTGCTGTGCTCTCCAGGCAGCCGAGATGGGACGGGAGCCCAGCTGTCCCAAGGGCTGCCCTGCCCCTGCTCCACCTTCCTGCCTTCAGGCTCAAACCAGTAAGAAAGCTCAGGTGAGCGATACACTAAAAACTTCCAGGCATGAAGCTGAGGCTGAAGCATAGCTGGCTCAGAGCCTGGGCTTGGTGGAGCATGTGTTCTCTGCCCAGATGTGCCAGGCTGCCCTCTGAGAGTTTATAACCCTCTTCCATGGATTAATTTCATGGATTATTTCCAGTAACATGGCTCAGAAGGTACCCTTCCAACTTCCAGTTGCTGCCTTGCAGAGTATTCACTGGGACCCTGAGGCCATGGGGACCTTTGTCTGGGGCAGGGGTGTTTTTGGGATGAGCACAGTGCAGGGGCAAACTTCCCTATGGATCTTGTGAAGGGAGGGCAGCCAATGCACATAAATGCACATAAAAAGACAGCTGCATTGCCCAATTTCCTCTATCTAAAAATGGTTGAATTTTCACCCTCCATCTTAAACAGTCAAAAAGAAAACAGGAACTGCAAGGGCCCTGGCAGGCTTTTTTTTTTCCCTTAATCGAACTGGATTTAAAAAAAAAAACAAAACAAAAAAACCAACAGAAAAGAAAAAAGAAAAAAATAAATCCTATATTTTATTGGGTAAAATTTATATATTTTAAATACTATATTTCAGCAGATCGACACTTTTGTTTTGAGAAATCTTATAGCAGTGATTCCATAATATATATCTCTATCTCTGTATCTCCTTGCCACACAAACTACTGGATGGTTGAAGTTGTACCTGGGGCTGGTGAGACCAGGCCTGCTCTGCCTTCCCGGCACTCCGGGCCCTCCTGCGCCGCAGCCTCGGCAGGTGCTGCTTGAAGGGGCGCTTTGGACCCAAACCAAAACCTGCTCCTCTGTCCAGATGTGAATTAGAAGGAAATTAAGGAATTAGAGCCTTGACTGGACCTAGAAGAACGGCACAGAGAGAAGTAGTGATGGCCTGGATCTGCCCTTGGAGCTCAGGAGGGAACACCACAGCTTTAACTCAGAATCCATGCTGTTTTTCCCAACATTTTGAGCTGCAATATGCACTTCCCAGGTGCATTTAGATTTAGAATTATTTTTACAGGCCCCTTTTCTGCAGCTCATCCCTGGAGCCTCAAACAGACTTCCCTACACAGGTTCCTTTTTTCTCGTGGTGTTTGTGGGGGTTCAGCTGGGCCTGGGCTGCTTACACCACAAGAAAAATAGATTTACACGCTGAATGTATCTTTTCTTTCCCCTCTTAAAACAGATTTCACAGCCCAATGCACTAGGCCAGTGTCTTAAATACCTTCCTTTGAAAAGATTCTGGAAATACTGAGGGGTTTGTGCGTTAATTTCCTGGTCCCAAATCCAAGCTGGGCAGAAGTGAAGGAGGCAGTGCCTGGACTGGAGCTTGTCCCCAGCCAAAAACAAGCTTCATGGGACCTCTCACGCTCCCAGCTGCCCCCAAAATAGAGATCCCAGCTCCCCAAGCATCACGCACAGGCCATGGCATCTGCGTTCAAGGAGACCTTTGGATGTGGAATCACAATCATGTCGTGGAAGGGTGGCAGCGATGCAAAGCCAGGATGAATGTTTTATTAATTTAACACTCTAGAAGTTTGTGTAAGCTTGCACAAAACAACAAAAATTGTAAATAATTACACTCAAAAGGGCAGGAATGCCCAGCCTCTCCCCTGTAAAGGTCAGGAATGACACGACCTTTACCAGAAATTGTGCCAGCTGAGAAGGAAAATACCTCCTACTGAATGGTGGATGCAGCACAAGATGAAACCAAGTATTTATTCACACTTCTCTAAAAGTCCTTTGTAACCCTCAGCTGCCTTCCCCCTTGGATGAAGGCATTCCTTGCTGGCTGTGGGACGGGCATGCGAGCATCCTCCCAAAATGTGAAGCTGTCCAATCCAGAGGGGCTGGGGTTGGTTCCGTGACAGAAGGACTGTGTCTGCCAAAGATGCCACCGACTCCCAGAAAGCTGCTTTCTGACCCTCTGGAGCTCTCTGGCCGGGAAAAGGCGTACAGAAAGGTCCGTGTTTGGAGTCAGCGAGATGAGATAAATGAAGGAAAAGTGCCAAAAGGGATCACGCCAGGTGATTGTATGACGTTGTTCTATATTGTCAGTATTTCTCTTCCAATGCTATTGTACCTGCAGTGCACAGCAGTCATGAAGTGTATAGCTTGAGCAAACGCTTCTTCGTATTTTCTCAGTGAAAGCAAAGGGGGAGGTTGAAGCCTTAAAGACTCTCACTGATTTTAGAAAACAAGCCTTTAGCAATGCTCCGAGGGCAGAGCTCCTCCTGGGCCTGTCCTGTCTGCCAGCTGGCCAGCAGAAGGTTGGCAAAGAGCTCGTCCCACACACGAGGGGAAGCGTTTCGGGAGAGCCCAGACCCTCTCGCTCAGTGGGGGACGCGGGACAGAAACTCCCACTGTCCGTGGTGGAGCCCCACGGGATGTCCCGGGGATGGAAGCGCAGCACGGAGCGGGGATGATCCCTGCGTGCACCGCCCTGTCCCCTCCCCGTGTCTGTGGAACTCCATCCCCTCTGGAGTTAGCTCCTCACTATGCAAACGGGAAAACCTTCAGCTGGGCACGGACGGGGGCGGGGGGGGGGTGTGCCTGGTTTCCTTGGGATTTGCTGTCGAACTGTTCAAAACCAATCTCGATGTCGCTACACTTTTTCTCCAGTAACGCTTTAAATCGTTGTGCTTTCGTGTTCTCCACTCGCCAGCACAGCACTGGCTGGCCACAGACTCTCACGGTCGTTCTGGTCCCCACTGAACCCCCGTGGCTTCACCTGAATGTGTTACAAAGCGATGGAAGGCACCAAAGGACCACTGATTTGCATGTGTGAAATGTGTGAGTGGAATGACATGCAGGCATCTGTCATGTTGTGGCTTCTGTTGTTCGAAACAGAGTAAATCCTGCTTGTGAAACAATTGTCACAAACCAGAAATATGCCAACAAATGTGTACAAATAACAGTGTTTGTTTTAACAGCAACCGGGACCTGAACTGCAGGGCAAAGGCCGAGGTTCAAACAGAATAAAACCAGATTCTGACAGTGAAACTCCCTGCTTCTTGCTGTGCTTGGAAACAAGCAGGATCCTACTGCTGCTTGTCCCAGATAGGTGACACTTACCTCCATCTGAAAGAGGTTGTGGAGTAATTGCAGAATCACGAAATCATGTGGTTGAAAAAGCTCAGAGACCCAAGTTACACTTCCTCTCGGGATAAACCCGTTTTAGTCCAAGGCTGATCTCCCAACAGCTGGGTTTGGGCTGGGGTTAATCCAGCTGTAGATCCCAGGGAGCCCAGCAGTGTCCGTGTGGCAGAGCTGAGCCCTCTCCTGCTGGAACATGCCTGTGCTTTCCATGTGGGCAGGGAGAGGCAGGTGCTGCTCGCCCATCCTGTCTGGATCCCTGGCATTTGCAGCAGGACAGACTCAGGCTGTCCTTTCTCCGCTTCCAGCTCTGCTGGCACCTCCGTGTGACCGGGAATGCTGCCAAAGGCTGCTCAAGGACTTGTGTCTGCTCCACTCCCACCCCCTCTGCTCTCCCCAGCACTGAGGACAATGTGCCGTTTCCTCCGGGAATGTCCCGGCACAGCCAGGGCAACAAGCCAGACCCAATTCCCACCAAAAGGAACAAAGGTACAAAGAGGTTCGTTAATAACAGACTCGAGCAAAGACAGGTGAAAACCCATCATTTGCTCTCGCTATAGGGAGGTGCATCTGCCAGGAGACTGGGGCTGTTATTGATTCTTTTAACATGAAACTGATAATCCTGCATCAAAACAGCTAAATTGGATCAGTCCAAATGGCCATCCAGCTTAGCATCGCACCTCCTGCAGTGGAGAACAGGGTTCTTTGGCTTGGCAGCTGGGGCCAAGCTGTACACAAAGGGTCTAGTTAAGGAGGAATAAGCAACATCCTCCTCACACGGCTCGGCCACACAGCAGGGCTGCTGTACCGTGTTGGAGATCATAGAACTGTGGAATAGTTAGGGCTGGAAAAGGCCTCCAAGGTCATCGAGTCCCCCAGCACTGCAAGGCCACTACTAACCCACGTCCCCAAGTGACACATCCACACGGCTTTAAATCCCTCCAGGGATGGGGACTCCACCGCTGCCCTGGGCAGCTGTGCCAGGACTGGACAGACCCTTTTGAGGTCGGACGGGGTTTGGAACAACCTGAAGTGAAACTGGATGCGTTTTAAGGTCGCTCCCAACCCAAATCCTGCGATTCCATGATGCGAAGAACCTTCTCCACGTCATAAGGGTGGCGGGCGGGACGGACTGCATTTCCCAGCGTGCCGCGCGGCGCCGGGGGGGGCGGACTTCCTCTCGCACCACCAATCAGAGACGCCCAGGTGGCGCGGGCGGGTCGGGGGCGGAGACGGCGAGAAGATGGCGGCCAAAAGCGGCCGGAACGGGCTCCTGGACAAGG